TCAGTGTCTCAAGGTGGGTGGTTGGCGGGTCCTATGGTGTGGTTTGCTTCTTCTTCCCTATCAAACATCTATCGTCCTTATCTCCCCTTCTTCTTTTTTATGTTTGTTACTCTCTTGTAACACCTCTCATCTTCTGGCGCTCTTGTGACCTTATGCAGTTGCGAGCACCGTAAAACCCTCTACTAAAAAACAAAAAACAAAAGTGTCTCAAGTTGTCATCCGAGTCATTAAAATAGTGTTTGCCTTCAGTTTGAAGTAAGGGACGCATAATAATAATATTGAACGAGCACTTTTTCATTGTAGTGTGTTCCTGGCGAAATAACAATATGGACCAAATTTTCAAGCGCCGATTTCGCGGAGGACGTGGACTCAACAAAAACCCGACCCTTCTTCCAAAAGTATAACGTACCCCGCTTGTACATGTACTATGTACTTTCCCACCCAGCCAGCCCTTCACACGTCTCGAGGACTGGTCCAGCCGCCAGCCACAAAGGGCGCCGTGATACCCATAAAGATCCCCGAGTTTATATAGCAATGTTAGCAATGTTGACTGTGTTTGGATTGGGCGCGACAAGCGGCCGTATTAAGTGTTGGCCTTCGTTGGAATTGTTAGTATTTCGGTACTGGGCGCATGCTGATAGGAGTAAGCGAATCTTTACTTCTCGGGACACGTGCGGAAGGAGTTGCTGTAGCCGTTTCTCGTTTTTGCCTGGCAGCGAAGGATTTATTTTTTCGTAACTCCCCTCCCCACAAAAAAAAAATGAAATCCTTTCTTTGCTAGTCTGTCATTTTCCCACCGTTTGGTCGCCCCTTTCTTCACGTAAATCCCTCTTGAATGGTTGACGGGTGCTCCGGTGTGATTCGCCCTTTTTATCTTATCAGACATCTACCGTCGTTATCTATTCTTCCTTTTTGTGTCTGCTACTCCCTTGTAACACCTCTAATCTTTGGCACAGATATGACCTTATTGTGTTGCAAGTACCATTAAACTACATTTGTATTACTAAAATAAACGATGCCCCTTTCTCTTTACTGGTCCTTATTTTTGTTTTGTTGTTTGTGTTTTTATATTTTTTCTTAAAAAAGTTTTATACCTTAACGTACCTTGCTTCTCTCTCTCTCTCTCTCTCTC